ACTTCACTCCACCCCAATCGTCTTTTTTGGATGCTCTGGCTCCTCGCCGTGCTGTTGTGAAAACTGGCGCAGACTATCTCATTCGAAACCAGGTCAGTTAATTTCACGCGAAGGATGGTTCTCAGGCAGCAGTGGTCAGACATTTCCTGTTTTTGCTTATCTTCAAGCCTGCACGCCCCAGCATTCGCAACCACGTACAACTGACCGGCCAGACTTCAAGCGAAGGACTCCTGACACGGCAGTGTAAGATTCCAGGATTGTGCCGAACGTATCATCAAGCGGAAACTAATTTAAATGGCGAACAACAGTAAACATTACTGCTACCGAGGAAAATGCGTGCTCCAGGAAGCACCAGGGAACAGGTAGGCGTGATTGCCAGGAGAAGAACTTTATTTGCCTGACCTTTTGTTTTCCCTCTCGAACCCGTCATCAAAAACAATGTCAGATACGGGCAATTCTTACCCATGCATGTCCTTCAGGATGACAAAAGGACTAGTTTGCTGTCGGAGCCCACGTCTATTCTCTCTCAACTACTCGTCGGGACCTAGAACCTAATGTCTTAGAGCTTATCGAAAGGCCTAAGCCTAGGTGTAATGAGGTGCTGACTGTAGACGGACAATAGGATATACCTCGAGTGCGAAAAAATGCTCTAAATAACCAAATAGGTTGCCGATATAAGCGAAAATAGGAGTTCTAGAAAGTCATTGAGAAGGAGACGCGATCGCTGAGACAAAAACTTAATTCCCCTGACGTTTAAAAGTCACACTTTGGTTAATTGTTTTGGCCAAATTAAGACTCAGGTCTAAATAGGGGTTAGGGAGGTCATTGCACTTGTTAATAGTTGGCGTTTGCCTCTTCTCAGCAGTAACCACTATGGTTTGTGACCTTTTTCCACGTAGCGGATTTGCTCGCTTGGCCCTCAGGTATGCATGAATATGTTGACGATGCCTGGTCTGTGATTGTTTGTCGCCAAAGACCCTCTTTATTTCGGAGCCCCCCC